CCATCACTACAGCATAGCCCATAAAAAAATAGCGCTGCTGCCATGAACATGCGGACTGATCTGTGCATGTACTCACAAATGCCACTAGGTGGCGTATAGCACTCAGGAGGAATGTAAACCCCTCTACAGTTCAGCTGTAAACAAACTCAGGTTCCTTTTACTTTAATATTCATTTGCAAGGTTTAGGACCACACCCCTTTCTCACACCCACCAGGCCGGGGTGTGTCGGAAATATTTTTAATAACACGGTCACTTCATTGTTCTGCGGGGCTCCTCCCTAAGTGCAAACTGAGCAAGCAACGGGTGAGCCTAACCTGCACGTTTGCATGTCACGTCTGTGCCAAAGGAGGCGGCGTGTGCATCAAACTCATCTTATGTCACATCCCTGTGGTTTTTCTGCTTTGTCAGTGGTCAGTGGCTGCATCAGTAAGGTGCCTGAACTCAACGTGAACACCGGGAATCCTCCGATGTTTCAGTGTGACGACAGCTACACCCTGGTGGGAGCTCCACTTTCCCCACCTGCCAACATGAGAAAAATAAACTTGCAGCAGCTTGTCTACATTCTCAAAAATCCCTTTTACAACAGGAAGACAAACACACCCTCAAAACTCTTTGCATCATTATTGAGTTCCTTAATCAGTTTCACAACACTGCCGTGACAAGAAGTCACCCACTCAGCTACTCTTAATCTGCAGTCTGAGTTTGGTGAAATGTGCTGGTTTTTGAGTCGTATCAGGAGTGACCTGTGACTTAGAGCCGAGAAGCATTTCCACATACGGTAAAGATAAGCTGGGATATGTTTTAATGCTATATCTCTGAAACATATCAATGATGCAAACTAGAGCTGTAAGTAACCTGTAAGTCACTGAATAGTTAAATGATGTCAAAAGGATTAATTGTTCTCCATCTTCTGATTCTGGCTTCAAGTAACAATAATATATATTAACTTGTTGTTCAGAATCCAAGTTACACAAGGACAAGAAAAATGAAACACACAGGCCTTTTAAACCTCGGGGTAAAAGCAGACGACAAAATTTGGTGTATGAAAACCAGCACAGTGCAGTGGAAGAAAGATCTCGCTATAGTGAAGGACAGTCCACAGAAAACAGCTTGTATGGAAGCAGGTTAGGTTACTAAGATTTTGGGGGATTTGCTACCTCTGTGGTTCAGGTAGTCAACGTAAAAGGAAGTTCCATCAACTCTTATTTTTCTCTGTATCATGAACTGTGTGGATACTTTCTGTAGACTGGATCCAGGAAAAATCTCACCCTTAACAAGAAAAACAACTTCTGATGACACAGCAGTTTCACATACCTGAGTAACAGCCTGAGGTGCACTTATCTCATTGTTTTTGTTAACTAGGCAAAAATACTCAAGTGGCATTATTTTAAGACATTTCGTTAAAAATATTTGTTATATGATAAAACATTTGGTATTTAAAAAATCAGCCATGCAAGACT